CAGCTTTTCCGAGTTCTCCCAAACTTTCACGAGTATTTCTATAACTCGATAGAAACACGGAGAACATGTTTTCTATTTCTTTTAGAAAACACAACGACGAAAAAAAGAAAACAACTCGTTAACTTTGATTATCAAAATGTAAATTCTCTTCGCTCGCGCCATCATTACGTCAGCAGCTCGTGCTAGTTCTGTGATTCTATCGAGTTATAGAAAACGATTTTAAACCAATCAGCGCGCGTATTTTCTTAGGGCTGTTTTCTAAACTGTGATAAAACATGGGATTTTGACCAATCAGAGCGCGCGCAGGGTCCTATCTGTATTATAACATCTCATATCCAACGCGCGCTCGTGGACAATTGTTAACTATATACCATAAGAGAATAACTGATTTACATAAGACACTGCGGGAGGTTTTTTTTTAACTTGTTTGGCCGACAACAGTTCAAAGCAACAGCGGACGAAACATTCCAGACTGATTTTCCTGTCTGCTTTTGTTTGTTTATTTGTTTCTTGGACTGATTTTTTAATATCGGATAATTTTATATATAAGTCACTTTCGTTTACACAGCTGCAAGAAAAAGAGCAGCATCTTTAGCCTGAAACGTCAGCCATCTCCCGCCCTCAGTCTGATCCGCAGGCCAGAGGCGATGAGGACGGGAAATGAATGACATTTCATGCTAGAGCAATTTATTCAACTAATAAAAATTGTTGACACCTTATTAACAAACTTTCACTTGGTCTGCATGGCAAGTAATTTAACGTTTTTAAAACTAATTTGCCGAATTCACTCACCTAAGTACGCTAACAATGTGTAAAATGTCCTGTACGGTTCAGGCGTTCAGCGGGGCAAAAGTCTATTTTCATTGGTAGTCTCATTGAATAATTTACTCGTTGGTTCTAACATTTTAAGAGGCGTATTTAAAAATTTATTTTGAATTTGCACCATACAAATCTTTATCATTAATATTAAATACGATTTTCGAGAAGATACATATTTTTTGATAGTCCAATATTTCACTAGTCAGGAATAGGGAAGACGAAAAAACCACCGATCTTGAGTCTTTGATCGACTTCAGTCAACCGGCGTCACTAAACTGGAAGATGCGGATAAAAGGTTTTTTAAGAAGATTGTTTCCTTCTTTTCTTAGGTAACAGGCGCAAAAAGAGCTTGAATGGTTAAAAAAAAAACAATTAATTTGGCAACTTGAGAAACATTTTAAATTAATTTTCACTTAGTATACAAAATTTTAACGTATATGGTCAAAAGCAACTTTACCTGTCTCCGTGGCGCAATCGGTTAGCGCGTTTGGCTGTTAACCGAAAGGTTGGTGGTTCAAGCCCACCCGGGGACGTTGATTTTGTTTTTTTTGTTTTTTTGTTTTTTTTTCCCAAGTCATCAGTTCACTTCAGTCCTGATTTTCCTAACAATACCAAATTAAAATGTTCCATTTGTTTTTCATATCAAAGGTTTTATAAGAGCAAATTTTTCCAATATATTTCCTATTTTGATTAATTTTTAGGTATACAAAATTGAACAAATGTTAACACAGTGAATTGATCTCATCACATAAACTGATAAAATTATTTTGTTTTTCAGGTAAATATCAGTTTAAATGACGGTATAAATACATACTGCAACAAAACCCTGTTTAATAATCGCAGAGTTCCGGCTTGTAGCGAGTTTGTGGTTCCCTTCTAAACAAGAAGAGCCTGCCTCAAGATGCATATATTCCATATGTTGTCTTTGCTGTTGATTTTCACTTACACACAGGTTTATGGAACCAGTGAGTATTAATCTTTTGTTCTTTGGTCCTAATATTAAGGACATTAAGTACAGTGGATCCCAGCTAATGCCTCTATGTTATTTTGCCTTGTCACGTTTTCTTTATATTGTTTTGGAAGACTCCTTCTTTTTCAAAACCATCATGTCGCGTTTATGAAAACTGGTTGCTCATTTGTTGTACTGCCTATTCAACAACGAGGGCATGTTCCCGATAAATTACATTGTCCCTTTATTATTATTTCTTTTTTGTCAAACTTCCCTTAATAGTAGAAATATCCCTTATTCCTCAAATTTACTTCTAAAATATCCCTTGTTCCCTTGAAATAAATGATCATATGCCCTTGTTCCCCCAAACCCCTGCGAGGCTCTCAACAACTAAGATATCCATTTTTCATAGAGATCATAGCGTCTTGCAGATGCCATTCGCAAGATTTAACAAAATGTTAAGAAATGTTTGAAAACGACGGTATCTCTTGCCTTTTTTTCGCTGTGGTTCGTTTGGACACAGATCGTGGACAATAATTTTGATTCTCTTTTATATAAACTAAATTATATAGAGTGCTTTCTAATTGCTCGTCTAACCGCAAACAAGTTTATAACGTCATTGGTACGTTTGTTCCTTCAAATAGGGACTGTCACTTTATCGAATTCGAATTCAAATTCTCCCAACATTTCTTTCAGGCCCGGTCCGCATCACGCCGGAGAAATTTGAAAAACGCAGTTTTATTTCTATGGTTAGGCCAACCGTCCACAACGATCCGTCACGAAAACCGGAGCTTTTCGAAAACGCTCTTCAAACTGGAGCAATTTGAAAACGTTGGCTTTGCGTTTTAGTGAGGACGGAAAACATTTTGAAAACACGATGACATCAAACACAACTTACCAAACTGACCTGTGATTGTTCCGTTTTCAAATTTCTCCGGCGTAGTGAGGACGGGTGTTATGTTTCCATCCCCAGGCGTTTGCATAAGGAAACACGTGGCGCGTGCGTGGCTTTTCTTTAATATTTTTTTTTCCGAACAATCTTTTTTTACCTTCAGACTATGTGATAAAAGTGAGCACATCCCGGGTGGCTTTTGCCGGTACTGACGCTCGTGTTTATGTAAATCTTATTGGTGTAAATGGCGATTCAACTGGTTCTATCAGGCTGCATAACTCGATATGGGATTTTGAATTTGGACGGTAAGGTTTCATTTGTCTTCTCTGTATGCTCGTTGATGTTGTTATTGTTGTTGTTGTTGTTTTTAAGTATCGCTGTTGAGTATTTATCATTCATTGCCTTTTGAATCGTTCGTTTTGAACATCTCAGTGGTGATTTCTAGAATCAAAACACTCGTTTTTCTATAACTCGCCAGTATTGGCCTGATACAGATTTCAAATCTTTTCATAAAAATACCGTCTCGGTATAGAGCGGTTTTCATTCGAGTGTCGAAAAGTAATTGGTTTGCATCACTAGGTTACACGATTGGCTTAAAAATTTCGCGCCACTTTTTCATCCAATCAGAAGCAAAACGAAAACGAATCATCACTCGTTCGCCCTATTTTTTCCGCGCTTGGCGTCAGCTTCATGTAATCTTTTCGAATTTTGATTGGTTCAAGGTGTTGTACGCGAACCTTTGTGATTGGCTAGAGTGATTACTTTGGTTTTGGTTTTACATTTAACAAATTAATCATGAATTTCGTCATGACATTGTCAGCAAAGTAGCTGTGGATCAGCAGACTACTTTGACAATGTTTTGATGAAATTCATTGTCAATAACAGGACAAACGCGTGAAAAAATAATTTCAATTTGTTTTTTACGATAACAAATCGTAAAATTGTCCGCTCTCGCTCGTTGACGCATTGCATAAATTATAAATTCATGTGTCTGTCTACTTACTGAGAATGAAAATTAGCCAATGAACGCTCGAGAATTTCTGTAGTTATCGTAAAATACTCAATTGAAAACCGCTCATAAACATCAATGAGTGTATTTTTTACCTCCCAGGACGGACACCTTTCATGGCAATGCGAAGTTCGTAGGACATTTGAAAGAGATCAAAGTGTATCATGATGGTTGGGGAATATTCCCTAATTGGCACCTTGCTCAGGTGAGCTGATATACGGTTCAAGTAGCATTTTTTTTTTTTTGCCGTAGAATATTTCAGAAACCAAGACATTATAAGATATAACTGGTTTACGATTTGCTAAGGGGTGGACCATGTGAATTTATGTACATAACCACTGCTGACAAAAATTAGCCATTTCCAGTGAGCCGAATATAAATCATGTTACAGGGAGAACAATATAATGCATCACACGCCCCAACAAAATGAAAGGGTTAAGAAAATTCGTACCTGTACCAAATCACCCAACTCTCCTTCGCCCCCCCCTCAAAAGTGAAAGGGTGTACCCTAATCTATTTTACAGTAAATTGTTCGAGTTCACAACCAACGTAACTTGTTGTATTATATTTTAAAATAGTTTACGTTTAAACAAAAAGTCTGCAGATAAAGGACGCAAAAACAATTAAATACAATGTAACTTTATCTGTAAGTACATCTAAGCGGACTACAAAAACATAGCTTACTTATGGAGTGTTTTTGGTCCTAAATACTGCCTAAGTTGACAAATGTGGATTTAAATCACTCAGAAACAACTGCAGTCAGCCTTACTGGGGTGAAAGATTCTCCCCCATATCAACTTTCTTTTCTCTCGTAAGTTCTCGCACGTATAAAGATGCGCCACACTCGCGTTTTAGGTGCAGGGATCCCACCCCATGCTTAACTAACTTTTTAAAGATGCTACTTTTAGCCCTCCCCCAAATCTACACCCGTGTATTTCACTTTTGGAAGTCTATTGATTTGGACAGTGCTTGAGTGAGAGATTCTGGCCCGTATCAACTTTGTTTTCGCTGGTAAGTTCTTGCGCGTTTAGAGATGCGCCACACTCGCAGTTTTGGTGTCGGGATCTTAAACTATGGTTACTGGACTTTATAAAGATTCTGGATTTGGCCTTTTCTCAAATCTACACACGTGTATTTCACTTGTGGAAGTCTGTCGGTTTGGACAATGCCTGGGTCAGAGATTCTCGCCCATTTATATCTTTTTTTCACTTGCGTGTTTTCTCGAATTAATTTAGAGTCCCTGGGACTCGGAAATAACGCCCAAGTTCCTGGAAATCGACCCAAAGTTGGTCAAAATCACGCTGCGCGTAGCCCAGTCTCGGCCACTTTCTAGTCACTAAGTGGCTATATTTCGGCCAGACTGCTCATAACCAAGCGTTCAAACCTTTTTCCTCTGTCCATTTCAGTGAAAACCATCGTCTTCCTGAATTAGTTTAGAGTCCTTGGGACTCGGAAATATCGCCCAAGTTCCTGGAAATCGACCTAAACTTGGTCAAAATCACGCTGCGCGTAGCCCGGTCTCGACGACTTTCTAGTCACTGAGGGAGTTAGGGAGGGGCTATTTTTTGGCCAGACTGCTCATAACCAAGCGTTCAAAACTTTTTCCTCTGTCCAATTCACTGAAAAGCAAAGTCTTCTCGAATTAGTTTAGAGTCCCTGGGACTGGGAAATTACACCCAAGTTCCTGGAAATAGACCTAAAGTTGGTCAAAACCACCCTACGCGTAGCCCGGTCTCGGCGACTTTCTTGTCACTAAGTGGCTATATTTCGGCCAGACTGCTCACAACCAAGCGTTCAAAAATTTTCCCTCTCTCCATTTCACTGAAAACCAAAGTCTTCTCAAATTATTTTAGAGTCCCTAGGACTCTGAAATTTCGCCCAAGTTCCTGGAAATCGACCCAAAGTTGGTGAAAATCAAGTTGCGCGTAGCCAGGTCTCGACGACTCTCTAGTCACTAAGTGGCTATATTTCAGCCAGACTGCTCATAACCAAGCGTTCAAAGATATTTCCTCGTCCATTACACTGAAAACCAGTCTTCTCGAATTAGTTTAGAGTCCCTGGGACTCGGAAATATAGCCCAAAATCCTGTAAATCGACCCAAAGTTGGATAAAATCACGCTGCGCGTAGCCCGGTTTCGGCGACTTTGAGCACTGTCCAAATCGCTAGACTTCCAAAAGTGAAATACACGTGTGTAGATTTGGTAGAGGGCTAAAAGTAGCATCTTTAAAAAGTTAGGTAAGTAATGGCTGGGATTCCCACACCTAAAACGCGAGTGTGGGGCATCTCTAAACGCGCGAGATTTTACAAGAGAAAAGAAAGTTTATATGGGCGAGAATTTCCAACCTAAGCACTGTCCAAATCGATAGACTTCCACAAGTGAAATAAGTTTGTGTAGATTTGGGAAAGGTCCAAAACTACCATTTTTAAAGAGCCCCATAAGCATAGTTTGATTTCCCCTTGCCAAAAACGCGAGTTTGCTGCATTGCTAAGCGCGAAAACACGCGAGTGAAAAAAAGATATAAATAAGCGAAAATCTTTAACCCGGGTATTGTCCAAAGCGAGAGACTTCCACAAGTGAAATACACGAGAGTAGATTTGAGAAAGGGCCAAATCTAGCATCTTTAAAAAGTCCAGTAAGCATAGTTTAAGATCCCGACACCCAAACCGCGATTGTGGAGTATATCTAAACGCGCGAGAACTTACGAAAGAAAAGAAAGTTGATATGGGCGAGAATCTCTCACCCAAGCGCTGCCCAAATCGATAGACCTCCACAAGTGAATTACCCGTGTTTAGATTTGAACGAGGGCTAAAAGTAGCATCTTTAAAAGGTTAGGTAAGCATTGGGTGGGATCCCCGCACCTAAAACGCGAGTGTGGCACATCTCTAAACGCGCGAGAACTTACGAGAGAAACGAAAGTTAATAGGGGCGAGTATCTCTCACCCAAGCACTGTCCAAATCGATAGCTTTCGACAAGTGAAATACACGTGTGTAGATTTGGGCGAGGGCTAAAAGTAGCATCTTTAAAAAGTTAGTTAAGCATTGGTTGGGATTCCCGCACCTAAAACGCGAGTGTGGGACATCTCTGAGCGCGCGAGAACTTACGAGAGAAAAGAAAGTTGATATGGGCGAGAATCTCTCACCCCATGAGGGGACGCAAATGACTTCTACTCAAAGTATCTTTTCCCGATGTTTTTTTTTTTTAATTCTATGAGAACAGGGCTCAGGGCTGTATTCCTTTAAGGCTGTGGGTCTAATTCGTAAAATCACTGAGTCCTTATAAATCGTTTAGAAATTCTTCGTTCCAGTTCAAATTTATGTTGCTGGCACATCGGTGGGCACTTTATATGTAGACCGTGATGTAAGATACCTTAANTATTATAACATCTCATATCCAACGCGCGCTCGTGGACAATTGTTAACTATATACCATAAGAGAATAACTGATTTACATAAGACACTGCGGGAGGTTTTTTTTTAACTTGTTTGGCCGACAACAGTTCAAAGCAACAGCGGACGAAACATTCCAGACTGATTTTCCTGTCTGCTTTTGTTTGTTTATTTGTTTCTTGGACTGATTTTTTAATATCGGATAATTTTATATATAAGTCACTTTCGTTTACACAGCTGCAAGAAAAAGAGCAGCATCTTTAGCCTGAAACGTCAGCCATCTCCCGCCCTCAGTCTGATCCGCAGGCCAGAGGCGATGAGGACGGGAAATGAATGACATTTCATGCTAGAGCAATTTATTCAACTAATAAAAATTGTTGACACCTTATTAACAAACTTTCACTTGGTCTGCATGGCAAGTAATTTAACGTTTTTAAAACTAATTTGCCGAATTCACTCACCTAAGTACGCTAACAATGTGTAAAATGTCCTGTACGGTTCAGGCGTTCAGCGGGGCAAAAGTCTATTTTCATTGGTAGTCTCATTGAATAATTTACTCGTTGGTTCTAACATTTTAAGAGGCGTATTTAAAAATTTATTTTGAATTTGCACCATACAAATCTTTATCATTAATATTAAATACGATTTTCGAGAAGATACATATTTTTTGATAGTCCAATATTTCACTAGTCAGGAATAGGGAAGACGAAAAAACCACCGATCTTGAGTCTTTGATCGACTTCAGTCAACCGGCGTCACTAAACTGGAAGATGCGGATAAAAGGTTTTTTAAGAAGATTGTTTCCTTCTTTTCTTAGGTAACAGGCGCAAAAAGAGCTTGAATGGTTAAAAAAAAAACAATTAATTTGGCAACTTGAGAAACATTTTAAATTAATTTTCACTTAGTATACAAAATTTTAACGTATATGGTCAAAAGCAACTTTACCTGTCTCCGTGGCGCAATCGGTTAGCGCGTTTGGCTGTTAACCGAAAGGTTGGTGGTTCAAGCCCACCCGGGGACGTTGATTTTGTTTTTTTTGTTTTTTTGTTTTTTTTTCCCAAGTCATCAGTTCACTTCAGTCCTGATTTTCCTAACAATACCAAATTAAAATGTTCCATTTGTTTTTCATATCAAAGGTTTTATAAGAGCAAATTTTTCCAATATATTTCCTATTTTGATTAATTTTTAGGTATACAAAATTGAACAAATGTTAACACAGTGAATTGATCTCATCACATAAACTGATAAAATTATTTTGTTTTTCAGGTAAATATCAGTTTAAATGACGGTATAAATACATACTGCAACAAAACCCTGTTTAATAATCGCAGAGTTCCGGCTTGTAGCGAGTTTGTGGTTCCCTTCTAAACAAGAAGAGCCTGCCTCAAGATGCATATATTCCATATGTTGTCTTTGCTGTTGATTTTCACTTACACACAGGTTTATGGAACCAGTGAGTATTAATCTTTTGTTCTTTGGTCCTAATATTAAGGACATTAAGTACAGTGGATCCCAGCTAATGCCTCTATGTTATTTTGCCTTGTCACGTTTTCTTTATATTGTTTTGGAAGACTCCTTCTTTTTCAAAACCATCATGTCGCGTTTATGAAAACTGGTTGCTCATTTGTTGTACTGCCTATTCAACAACGAGGGCATGTTCCCGATAAATTACATTGTCCCTTTATTATTATTTCTTTTTTGTCAAACTTCCCTTAATAGTAGAAATATCCCTTATTCCTCAAATTTACTTCTAAAATATCCCTTGTTCCCTTGAAATAAATGATCATATGCCCTTGTTCCCCCAAACCCCTGCGAGGCTCTCAACAACTAAGATATCCATTTTTCATAGAGATCATAGCGTCTTGCAGATGCCATTCGCAAGATTTAACAAAATGTTAAGAAATGTTTGAAAACGACGGTATCTCTTGCCTTTTTTTCGCTGTGGTTCGTTTGGACACAGATCGTGGACAATAATTTTGATTCTCTTTTATATAAACTAAATTATATAGAGTGCTTTCTAATTGCTCGTCTAACCGCAAACAAGTTTATAACGTCATTGGTACGTTTGTTCCTTCAAATAGGGACTGTCACTTTATCGAATTCGAATTCAAATTCTCCCAACATTTCTTTCAGGCCCGGTCCGCATCACGCCGGAGAAATTTGAAAAACGCAGTTTTATTTCTATGGTTAGGCCAACCGTCCACAACGATCCGTCACGAAAACCGGAGCTTTTCGAAAACGCTCTTCAAACTGGAGCAATTTGAAAACGTTGGCTTTGCGTTTTAGTGAGGACGGAAAACATTTTGAAAACACGATGACATCAAACACAACTTACCAAACTGACCTGTGATTGTTCCGTTTTCAAATTTCTCCGGCGTAGTGAGGACGGGTGTTATGTTTCCATCCCCAGGCGTTTGCATAAGGAAACACGTGGCGCGTGCGTGGCTTTTCTTTAATATTTTTTTTTCCGAACAATCTTTTTTTACCTTCAGACTATGTGATAAAAGTGAGCACATCCCGGGTGGCTTTTGCCGGTACTGACGCTCGTGTTTATGTAAATCTTATTGGTGTAAATGGCGATTCAACTGGTTCTATCAGGCTGCATAACTCGATATGGGATTTTGAATTTGGACGGTAAGGTTTCATTTGTCTTCTCTGTATGCTCGTTGATGTTGTTATTGTTGTTGTTGTTGTTTTTAAGTATCGCTGTTGAGTATTTATCATTCATTGCCTTTTGAATCGTTCGTTTTGAACATCTCAGTGGTGATTTCTAGAATCAAAACACTCGTTTTTCTATAACTCGCCAGTATTGGCCTGATACAGATTTCAAATCTTTTCATAAAAATACCGTCTCGGTATAGAGCGGTTTTCATTCGAGTGTCGAAAAGTAATTGGTTTGCATCACTAGGTTACACGATTGGCTTAAAAATTTCGCGCCACTTTTTCATCCAATCAGAAGCAAAACGAAAACGAATCATCACTCGTTCGCCCTATTTTTTCCGCGCTTGGCGTCAGCTTCATGTAATCTTTTCGAATTTTGATTGGTTCAAGGTGTTGTACGCGAACCTTTGTGATTGGCTAGAGTGATTACTTTGGTTTTGGTTTTACATTTAACAAATTAATCATGAATTTCGTCATGACATTGTCAGCAAAGTAGCTGTGGATCAGCAGACTACTTTGACAATGTTTTGATGAAATTCATTGTCAATAACAGGACAAACGCGTGAAAAAATAATTTCAATTTGTTTTTTACGATAACAAATCGTAAAATTGTCCGCTCTCGCTCGTTGACGCATTGCATAAATTATAAATTCATGTGTCTGTCTACTTACTGAGAATGAAAATTAGCCAATGAACGCTCGAGAATTTCTGTAGTTATCGTAAAATACTCAATTGAAAACCGCTCATAAACATCAATGAGTGTATTTTTTACCTCCCAGGACGGACACCTTTCATGGCAATGCGAAGTTCGTAGGACATTTGAAAGAGATCAAAGTGTATCATGATGGTTGGGGAATATTCCCTAATTGGCACCTTGCTCAGGTGAGCTGATATACGGTTCAAGTAGCATTTTTTTTTTTTTGCCGTAGAATATTTCAGAAACCAAGACATTATAAGATATAACTGGTTTACGATTTGCTAAGGGGTGGACCATGTGAATTTATGTACATAACCACTGCTGACAAAAATTAGCCATTTCCAGTGAGCCGAATATAAATCATGTTACAGGGAGAACAATATAATGCATCACACGCCCCAACAAAATGAAAGGGTTAAGAAAATTCGTACCTGTACCAAATCACCCAACTCTCCTTCGCCCCCCCCTCAAAAGTGAAAGGGTGTACCCTAATCTATTTTACAGTAAATTGTTCGAGTTCACAACCAACGTAACTTGTTGTATTATATTTTAAAATAGTTTACGTTTAAACAAAAAGTCTGCAGATAAAGGACGCAAAAACAATTAAATACAATGTAACTTTATCTGTAAGTACATCTAAGCGGACTACAAAAACATAGCTTACTTATGGAGTGTTTTTGGTCCTAAATACTGCCTAAGTTGACAAATGTGGATTTAAATCACTCAGAAACAACTGCAGTCAGCCTTACTGGGGTGAAAGATTCTCCCCCATATCAACTTTCTTTTCTCTCGTAAGTTCTCGCACGTATAAAGATGCGCCACACTCGCGTTTTAGGTGCAGGGATCCCACCCCATGCTTAACTAACTTTTTAAAGATGCTACTTTTAGCCCTCCCCCAAATCTACACCCGTGTATTTCACTTTTGGAAGTCTATTGATTTGGACAGTGCTTGAGTGAGAGATTCTGGCCCGTATCAACTTTGTTTTCGCTGGTAAGTTCTTGCGCGTTTAGAGATGCGCCACACTCGCAGTTTTGGTGTCGGGATCTTAAACTATGGTTACTGGACTTTATAAAGATTCTGGATTTGGCCTTTTCTCAAATCTACACACGTGTATTTCACTTGTGGAAGTCTGTCGGTTTGGACAATGCCTGGGTCAGAGATTCTCGCCCATTTATATCTTTTTTTCACTTGCGTGTTTTCTCGAATTAATTTAGAGTCCCTGGGACTCGGAAATAACGCCCAAGTTCCTGGAAATCGACCCAAAGTTGGTCAAAATCACGCTGCGCGTAGCCCAGTCTCGGCCACTTTCTAGTCACTAAGTGGCTATATTTCGGCCAGACTGCTCATAACCAAGCGTTCAAACCTTTTTCCTCTGTCCATTTCAGTGAAAACCATCGTCTTCCTGAATTAGTTTAGAGTCCTTGGGACTCGGAAATATCGCCCAAGTTCCTGGAAATCGACCTAAACTTGGTCAAAATCACGCTGCGCGTAGCCCGGTCTCGACGACTTTCTAGTCACTGAGGGAGTTAGGGAGGGGCTATTTTTTGGCCAGACTGCTCATAACCAAGCGTTCAAAACTTTTTCCTCTGTCCAATTCACTGAAAAGCAAAGTCTTCTCGAATTAGTTTAGAGTCCCTGGGACTGGGAAATTACACCCAAGTTCCTGGAAATAGACCTAAAGTTGGTCAAAACCACCCTACGCGTAGCCCGGTCTCGGCGACTTTCTTGTCACTAAGTGGCTATATTTCGGCCAGACTGCTCACAACCAAGCGTTCAAAAATTTTCCCTCTCTCCATTTCACTGAAAACCAAAGTCTTCTCAAATTATTTTAGAGTCCCTAGGACTCTGAAATTTCGCCCAAGTTCCTGGAAATCGACCCAAAGTTGGTGAAAATCAAGTTGCGCGTAGCCAGGTCTCGACGACTCTCTAGTCACTAAGTGGCTATATTTCAGCCAGACTGCTCATAACCAAGCGTTCAAAGATATTTCCTCGTCCATTACACTGAAAACCAGTCTTCTCGAATTAGTTTAGAGTCCCTGGGACTCGGAAATATAGCCCAAAATCCTGTAAATCGACCCAAAGTTGGATAAAATCACGCTGCGCGTAGCCCGGTTTCGGCGACTTTGAGCACTGTCCAAATCGCTAGACTTCCAAAAGTGAAATACACGTGTGTAGATTTGGTAGAGGGCTAAAAGTAGCATCTTTAAAAAGTTAGGTAAGTAATGGCTGGGATTCCCACACCTAAAACGCGAGTGTGGGGCATCTCTAAACGCGCGAGATTTTACAAGAGAAAAGAAAGTTTATATGGGCGAGAATTTCCAACCTAAGCACTGTCCAAATCGATAGACTTCCACAAGTGAAATAAGTTTGTGTAGATTTGGGAAAGGTCCAAAACTACCATTTTTAAAGAGCCCCATAAGCATAGTTTGATTTCCCCTTGCCAAAAACGCGAGTTTGCTGCATTGCTAAGCGCGAAAACACGCGAGTGAAAAAAAGATATAAATAAGCGAAAATCTTTAACCCGGGTATTGTCCAAAGCGAGAGACTTCCACAAGTGAAATACACGAGAGTAGATTTGAGAAAGGGCCAAATCTAGCATCTTTAAAAAGTCCAGTAAGCATAGTTTAAGATCCCGACACCCAAACCGCGATTGTGGAGTATATCTAAACGCGCGAGAACTTACGAAAGAAAAGAAAGTTGATATGGGCGAGAATCTCTCACCCAAGCGCTGCCCAAATCGATAGACCTCCACAAGTGAATTACCCGTGTTTAGATTTGAACGAGGGCTAAAAGTAGCATCTTTAAAAGGTTAGGTAAGCATTGGGTGGGATCCCCGCACCTAAAACGCGAGTGTGGCACATCTCTAAACGCGCGAGAACTTACGAGAGAAACGAAAGTTAATAGGGGCGAGTATCTCTCACCCAAGCACTGTCCAAATCGATAGCTTTCGACAAGTGAAATACACGTGTGTAGATTTGGGCGAGGGCTAAAAGTAGCATCTTTAAAAAGTTAGTTAAGCATTGGTTGGGATTCCCGCACCTAAAACGCGAGTGTGGGACATCTCTGAGCGCGCGAGAACTTACGAGAGAAAAGAAAGTTGATATGGGCGAGAATCTCTCACCCCATGAGGGGACGCAAATGACTTCTACTCAAAGTATCTTTTCCCGATGTTTTTTTTTTTTAATTCTATGAGAACAGGGCTCAGGGCTGTATTCCTTTAAGGCTGTGGGTCTAATTCGTAAAATCACTGAGTCCTTATAAATCGTTTAGAAATTCTTCGTTCCAGTTCAAATTTATGTTGCTGGCACATCGGTGGGCACTTTATATGTAGACCGTGANAATCAAACGCTCCTTTACGCCCGGACAAGCATCTCGATGCAAGCTCAGAGTTTATTGTGATGGCTTTCATCGGGTAAACAAGACATTTACGTCTACTCGCCACGCTCAACATCCATTCGTAGGCACTTTGTATATTTAAGTTCAGTTCGTAGATCTGAACTTGGTTCAGGGGGAGAAGCAGAGGAAGATTCATGTTGGGTAATTCCCGGGGGGGTACTCCCTTATGTGGGCTATATAGGTATGTGCGGCCCCAAAGGGTAGGGTTTTTCAGCCGTTTTAGTCATAAATAGGGTATCGATTTTGGCCATTTTGGTTATAAATAGGGTATGGTTTTAGCACCCTAGTCTAACCCTGCCCGGGTGCATTGTGTTGTATTCTTGGGCAAGACACTTAACGCTCACAGTGATTTTCTCCACCCAGCTGTATAAATAAGTACCGGCGAACTTAATGCTGAGGGGTAACCCTGCGATAAATTTACATCCCATCCAGGGAGGAGTAGAAATTCTCCTAGTTGCTTCATGCTACTGAAACCGGAATAAGCTCCGGCCTAATGGCCACTTGGCTCTTATGCATACTTAACCTTACTTTACCTATCCAGCTGAGAAATGTTAACCTTAGAATCTAAAGATCAATTTATCTTATTTGCGTGTCGGTTTGCTGTTGGCAGGTTACAGTAAGTTTTAGTGGCTCGCCACTGTACACGTTTTATTTCCACAAATGGATACCACCCTGGAAATGGATTACAGCTTACGGTGAGAACGATTGTCTGTAGAACCCACGGGAGTACTCTACAACCCCTTACCCTTTTGTATACCATTTTGCACAGAAAAGTAATCGCTTTACCCAATGACAAAGGACATAGTCCGAGGTAGTTCCATGTAGCTGACGAGAAGCGCGGGAAAACGTCTGCGAACGAGTTACGTTTGGCGTAGCAAGGGCAAAACCAATAACTTTTCGACACTCAAATGAAAACTGATCTAAGTCAATGAATTTATTGACTAGGGACAAATCAAAAGCACTCTTACAAAAGAACAGACCTGAGTAGCGTACATTATCGGAAGTGATCAATGTGGAATTTCCTGGCCTGGTAGTTGGGCATGTCTTTCGCAAGGTCCTCCTCTTTGGATCATATTAGAAGTAATATATCAAACAAGAAAGACCGTGTTTGACCATATTTCCAAACACCGAGAGTTGAAAATACGACACTCAGCGGAGCATTTTTGACGAACTTCAAGGAGTATGGAAATGTGGTCGAACACCGCTGTCTTGAGGGTTTTATATATCTTCTCAATCAAAACTAAAACTAAGGAGTAAATGGAGAAATAAAATCGTAAAAATCTGTGCTAATTAAGATCAGATATTCAAACACAGACACGGTCATGATTTCCTTTGTTGATTGAATTATTGATTGAAGAGTTTGAGAAGATTCAAAACCCCTTGGTACTGACCAAAAAACGAATTAGCGGGCTCTAACGTTTGTTGTTGATCGTGCGTTTATGTGTGTTCACAGAGCAAAATGAATGCCGCGCTGGCCTGGCGCTGTGTCAGCATGTCTGCATCGACACGAGTAGCAGCTACAACTGCGCATGTCACAAAGGGTACAAGCCTGAAAGTCGCTATAATTGTCAAGGTGAATGATCGGATTATGATGATGTCATCAAATCCAGACAGTTCGATCTCATGTTCTTTACAGTAGCCATTTATAATTATAATAATAATAATAATAATAATAATAATAATAATCAACTTCATTTATCGAGGGTAACACAGTACAGTAGTACTTAGTTACTGATAAGTCTTGAATTGTAACTCGCTTTCCAGGAAAGACAATATGAAAATAGACATTTCCAATCTTTCTTCTCAAATCAGTTTCATAATCTAGACGTGTCGCTGAAAGCAACAAGCTGAAAAAGGCCAAATAAGTTGTCAAGCAGCGAATTAAAATTAACAGAACGACTGGCCTCTAATATTATTTTATGGGATGTTATTAACTCATATGAAACTGTTTATATCGTTTTAATGGACAGCTTTCGAGTTCACACTAAAACGAAACAGTCAGCACTATCCATCGCTTCTTTTTTTCCAGATGTAGACGAGTGTATGACTGGAGCACACAAGTGTGAACAGGAAAGTACAGCATGCAACAACACCCCGGGTGGTTACACCTGTCAGTGCAAAAATGGATATCAGCCTGCCCAGTCGTTGTTTAAGTGTCAAGGTAAGATGGATCAACATTTATTCGATCTTGGCTCACATTCTTGGGATAAAAGACAAGACATTTAAGTCCACAACCTGCCTACGGCTATTTCATTCTTCGTAAACAAACGGACTCATGGTTAAGCAACATCGCAAAGTTTTAAGTGAATAGGGCGACTAGCCACCCCACTTTTGAAGAGCAAAATATAAAGAAAAGAGAAGAAATTGTGAATATTGTAGCAGAAATGAAGGGAAACGCTCTGCACAGGTACATCATTGTAATTTTTACTTTGTGGTATAGCTGGAAACATTTGTGGTGTAACACTTTTCTGAGTAGGGTTTAATTCTCAAAGTGAAACATTTAGGGGTAAGCCCCATTGATTCTACAGCCCTGAAGTACCAACCACCCCACCCCACCCCCATCCCCACCTCCACCCCGCCCTTGAAAAATCCTGGATTTGCCCCTTCTTTGTTAATATAACTACAAGATTCCTTGACCTAAATAAAAGACCGGTCAGTCTTTAAAGAGCCCCTGCCACACGACCAGCCATTAATACAAGCAAAATGAGTTTTTAGTGGCTTGTTTGTGACCTTATTAAATACACCTAGTAATTATATTTCACATTTTTGATTTATTTTCAGAAGTTTTTTTTTAGTTTAGGGGTGTGACTAAAAAAAATTAACCCACGATCGATTCTCTTTCAGACATCAATGAATGTGACAATGGAGAACACAAGTGTGATAATCAAACCACAACATGCAGCAACAAACTAGGAACTTACACCTGTCCGTGTAAGAACGGTTATCAGCCTGATCAGTCATTGTATAAATGCCAAGGTAAACCTGTTGCTCTGAGAGTAAAAAAGGCAATATACGCTATTTCCGAGTTACCTTGTGTCTCTGTTTGAAAACGAATACTTGTGAAAAACCTTTCATATATGATGCACGAAAATGAACCTGTAGGCGGAACACATTTTCATAAGAATAGTTTCGCACTAAGACTCGTTTTGACACAGAGGCAAAAGGCAACTCGCAAATGACCTTTTGAAAGGCAGTTGACTTACTCCCGTTGATACCACTTCTAGTAATCGCTTTGACGGATAGAACTGCTAGCAACTCTAAACTCCCTTTCAAACATCAGTTTGTGTACTGTTTTGTTTCTGGAAAATGAAGAACGTGCTATGGGGCTAGAGTTTACATGAGTTGTCCCGGTGCAAAAGACAATGAGAGTCTCTTGCCCTATGCTTTTCAACTAAAACGATGGACATGCTCATGCAATGCAGACTTGCACGTTTCTTCTTTCTTGCTTTATGTTCCTTGGTAAGAATGACAGTGTTATAGTTACTGCTTTAATAGCTGTCAATGGATACTTTCGAATTGTAAGAGCACCCTCACAAAATACTTGGATGGGATAACTTTCAAAGACTAGCAACCCTTTTACACCAGTTAGGAGTAGCACCATTCTGTGTAAAACTGATCTGAAAGTATTATAGTACTTAAAATGAATCATATCCAATGGTGTTTATTCTTCTGTAAGTAAATGCTTTCCTAGTCCTAGGTGTAGTGGTAGAAGATGACAATTATTCCAAATGTATCCTTTGTAATTCTTAATTCTTTTTAATACTTTATCCCATTAGTTGATTGTTATTAGAAAATAGTTTGTTGGTTTTTAAATATATTATGTTGTTAATTATATCGTTAGGCTTTTTACTAGTTCATTAGAAAATAATTAGTAGGTTATTTATTATATTAAGTGTCCCCAATTGGTAGAGGGTTTTTTTTTCTCCATCGGCTAGATGGAAACACGCGTTAATAAAGTTTATGTACGTAATCCCATAGCATTAGCGAGGCAGTGTGGCCGAGTGGTTTAGGGCGCTGGTGTTGTAATCCGGAGGTCCCGGGTTCAAGGCCTCCACCCTGCAACTAGCGCGATTTATTTCTCGGTAGTGCCGAGTTCAAATCCTCGGTCACGCTTTGTAAATAGCCAACTGGTCTGCCTCCTACCAGTTGGGATTTTTGACTATGTTACGTTTATTTGAAATATTTGTTTCCTTTGTTTCAGTGGCATGCCTGTAAACTAGCTAAGCTTAGTGCTTGTACAGCTAAGTGCATGACCACTATAAATATATTAATTTTAAAATAGAGGAATAGAGAAGAATTTAAAAGGTTAACTCAATCTACATGATTTCGGTTTTCAGACGTAAACGAGTGTGTAAACGGAAAACACAAGTGTGAACTGGAAAGTACAATTTGCAACAACAGCTTGGGGAGTTACACTTGTCAGTGTAAAGAGGGATATGAGCCCATACACCAGTCAGTGTATAAATGTGAAGGTAAACTCTAAATCCATCTCATGGAAATGTATATAACAGACCAACGTTTAGCATTAATGAAACGTTTTTAATGTAATAGAGCATTGTTTTTTGTTGCTGTTGGTCCTGTTGTTGTTGCTGGTGATGTTACCTGTTGTATATATCTTAGGTTTCAGATAAACTGTAAATTTTTATGAGTCCATTAGTACATTAGAGTTCTTTTTCTAATGACCCCATGAACTTTGTAGCTTTGCAAACTATCGCTTTAAAATAAAAGTTGATTTTTTTAATATTTTTTTCAGGGGTAGTTATCCACAATTATGTGGAGGCGCGGTGGCCTCATGGTTAGTGCGCTCGTGTTCGGATCGAACAGTCCGGGTTCGAGCTCTGGCCGGGGACACTGTGTTGTGTTCTTGGGCAAGACAATTTACTCTAACGGTGCCTCTCTCCACCGAGGTGTACAAATGGGTACCAGCAAATCTAATGCCGGGGGTAACCCTGCGACGGGCTAGCATCCCTTCCAGGGGGGAGTAGAAATACTCCCAGTCGTTTCGTGCTTCAGAGATCGGGGTAAGCTCCGACCTGATGGGCCACTTGGCTCGTATGTCGACTTATCCACAATAATAGATAACGTTTTCCTTTTTTCTAACGGTGTTCACGAATGGTTTGCTAGCCAAACAATGCAACGCTTCTATACCCCTGGGGATGCAGGACGGACGAATTAGTAACCAGTCCATCACGGCAAGTTCTCACTACTTTAACTACCCTCCATGGGGAGGCCGACTAAACGCTGGGATCGCGAAAAGCTGGTATGCGGTTGCCGAGGATACCGACCCCTGGATCCAGGTGGATCTTGGGAAGGTCACGTGGTTGAAGGGTGTGGCGACTCAAGGCAAGATGTTCTCCTTGTTTGTCAAGACTTACAAGCTGGCTTATTCGTCTGATGAAGTCACGTGGTTTAATTACAGAGAGCCAGATGCCAAGGTCGACAAGGTAGGGACCAGTGCTCCTCCTCTTTGTCCTATTCCTGTTTATCCTTCTCCTCCTAATACTCCTCCCCCAACTACCCTTCGTCTTCTTCTTCTTCTTCTTCATCATCTTCTTCTTCTTCTTCTTCTTCATCTTCTTCTTCATCTTCTTCTTCTTCTTCTTCATCTTCTTCTTCATCTTCTTCTTCTTCTTCTTCTTC